CTTACCTTGGCAAGTATATCCATCTCCAGTGAATCCAGGATTGCAAGAGCATTTGAATGATCCCTCAGTGTTTGTACAAGTGGCGCTGCCCTTGCTGCAGTTATGGGTATTGTTAACACACTCATCGATGTCTGAAATGGAATCAACAGATCATACTCATGCACTGAGGCTGCAGGGATGAAAGGGAGGAGAAATTGTCCCAATATACGATCATCACCTTCCGAACGATATTAGGTTACCATTTATGTTGCCTTTGTTTCGGCTAGTTCTATAGACTTTTCGCGCTGATACGGCAAAGCATCACTGTACGGTACCTGTGCAGTTGTCTCCATCACCACTGAATCCTGGTTTACAAATGCACTTGAATGAACCCTCGGAATTGTTACAAGTGGAAGTTTTATTGCTGCAGTTGTGGCCGTTTTGAGAACACTCGTCAATGTGTGAAATGAAATCAGTAGTCCATATTAACTATGCCGATAAAGAATAACATTAAAAATGAGCTGAAAACTGGCTTTCCAAACTGAAAAAAACCACTCTTAACAAATAAGGGACCCCTAACCCTTAATGCAAGCTGGCTCAAACTCTTTCTGTCAAAACCATAAGACTTACTTAGCACATGAGTTTGCATCCGAAAGATATGCATTGTTTAGGAGCGTTCTTACGGAGAAAGACTAGCGATGGAATTATATCTATTTAAAAACATGGTATTGTGCAGGATTTTACCCTCGCATTTATGTCCATCCCCGCTGAATCCAAGATAGCAAGAGCAGTTGTGACATCCCTCGGTATTTTAACAGTTGGCGTTCTCGCTACAGTTGTGGTTTTGAAGACACTCTTTTGTGTCTGAAATGGAAGTAAAGGAACGCTCTCTTGATCATTTTCGTGGATGAAAAGGAGGGTAGGGGAGTGATAGGCTACTGTCAAATGCAAAACCGATTCCACCACCTGTTAATCCAGTTCTACAGGAAAAATAGTAAGTATCTTAGGTGTGATAATTGTTATAGATTTTGGGGTCATCTTGCCCGCTCGGGATAGTCCGTTTTGATCCCGCGCAAGAAAAACATTGTGTGTAATCGTAGTCCTTGGACAATGTTGGTGGTGGAGACGCGAAGAGCGACAGATGACAGTCAAAACAAAGGAAACATGACCGACTGTCGTAAAAATATTGTGCAGCAAACATAGTTCCTTTTTTTCTGGCTCTCGAAATAAAGAGGTCATCTTTAATTCTAAATAGAGCGAAATATTTTTTCTAAACAAGGAATATTTTGTTGACCGAGCTTGTTATTCAAGAAGGCTCACTTAGCCTCACTCTCCGAATTTGTTTCTTTGTAGTACTCAACTTCGTCTTGGTCCACAAAAGTGCAGAAAGAACTCAGCCATGTCCTACAGTCTTCATCTCACGCCCTGATCAGTAACGTATAACTATATCATCGCTAGCATCGTTCTGATTGGCTACCGAAGCAAGCAAGATGGGCCCATCCT